GTACCTCAGATTCATCATCAAGAGCATTATAATCTTGGGGTTGTTGAACGGAATTAGGTGTGTCCAATATTGCTTTTTCCCTCTTTCTGTTGGCTTCAATTAGGGCTTTTTGCAGCAGAGCTTTTACGTCGGAATTGAGCTCGCTAATGAACTTCAAAGGTGAAGGCCAAGTTAGCGGCTCTGGCGCCAGAGGGTTTAACAAAGCCGCACATAAATCGTGTTTATACTTGACTGCCACCATGTAAGGTATTCTCCTGCAGGTTACATCAAAACCTCTAATTAAATTTTCTAAACAAGTTAGCTTCGTCTATATCAGATTCAAGGACCAATAAGCAAAGGGGTGGTTTAACTGCAAGTGTTGTGCACACACATACACGCTCGGAATAAAGTTTTCGTCACACTAGAGCAATATATAACTGGTTTAATCACCTTCAAGATGGAGCATTTGAAAAATTAGTAGAACATACCCATTTATCCAAACGGCAAGCTTAACTCAAATCGATGTACTTATTTTTGTTGAATGTAAGATCTCTTATCAGGGCCCATGAAAAAAGTTCCGAACTAGTCTCAAAACTTTAATTGCATATGAAAAACTAAAAATCCACCGCAAATCAATTTCAGCAAGTAAATCCAATGTTTCAAAATTCACACCACTCACCCGGAAGAATCTCTTTGGAGACGATCAGCACCCCAAGCAAGCAATTCACGGACACAGTCCAATGATCCTCCTCGAGCAGCAAGATGAAGAGGCGTACTACCTGGATAGCTGAAGTAAAAAAATCCATTATTTTCTTTACATATTAACTACACTAAAAATGCTGGTTAAGGTAGATTTTTTTAGAACAAATTATACCTATATCCACCAGTAGAAGCACACACGAGGGCCCCAGAGCTCAACAAGATTCGAACACAATCAGGCCGTCTTTGACGAGCTGCCAAGTGCAGCGGTGTTGAACCACTTCCATCTCTTATATTTACAAATCTTGAAAATCCCCTTCAAATTTTTTGTAATAAAAAATGAACATAATTGTTTCTTTCTTCTTTATATACTGCACACATAAATCAATACCAAAATCAAAGACGATTACCAAGATTGAGCAACAGGGGTGGAATTGGCAGCAGAAAGGATCAATTGGAGGCAATCTGAGTGACCATGGTAGGCTGCATAATGCAAGCAGGTCCTCCCATATAATGTATCAAACAACAAAATCTGAAAAAAGAGGAAACAAAAGGTAATTGAATGATCAATTGCAAAAATCAATCATCGGGTCATTCACAAATCACAAAATGTATACAAATTAGATCTGCTAACTGTAAAATAGAAATGCAGGCAGGACTCGGGGAAAGTGATGAATCATACATTGGCTCCTGCTTGAATCAGCCTTTCCACACACAAAACCTTCCCATGTATAGCAGCTAACATCAATGGAGTCTAAGCCAAACAAAACCCAGAACCAGAAAATGCTCACATTTACAGTGATCCATCTTGATCGAAGTCGAAAAAAAAAAGTTTAGAAATCAACTCACCTGCTTGTGCCGATTCAGGATATCCGGATTACCAAACCGATCCAGAAGCATAGAAAGAACCTAACCAAAATCGAACAAATCCCAACACCACAAACCACACTCAGTCAATCAGAAAACAGGCTACAGAAAAAATCAACCAGTCGGGCGGATCTCATTGAACGCTCACCTCGATCCGCCCATTAGCGGCCGCCACGTGGAGCGCGGAGAGCTTCTGGTGGAGCGTTTTCACTGCCAACAGATTCGGATCCTCATCCGCCATTGCCTCGACGATTTGAAGCTCTCCATTTTGAACTGCGGTGAACAGCTCGGTTTCCTCCTGCTCCCTGCAGCTCAGTCCCTGACCCATTTTCTGGAGGAAACGGCGCTCACGCGCCGCCGACCACGGCGGAGGAGGTGCGGCGCGGCGATTACGGAGGAGGTGTAATGGGTGATTGGATTTGTTGGGGGACGAAAGGTAGTGGGAAATAATGAGTGATGGTGTTGGAGAGTTTGGGCTGCCCGCCGGGATTTTGGGCAGCGGGCCGTGTGCGTTAGGTGCACGTTCGGGCAGATTTTGGGATTTTCTTTTCGGTCAGTTTGGAGATACATTGTATATAACAAAAAAAATCTTGCTTTAATAAACCTAATTTTAATCAACTAAAATCTATACTTATATAAAAAGGCATTCTATTTATTAGAAATAGTAGACAGGAAAATCAAAGGTAATTAATGTTTCTGAAAATAGAATGACATTAATTACATATCTGTTTTGGTATTTATAGGTTTGACATTAAAGATTTGTTATGGGATAAAAATCAGAACTGATTTTCTTACCTTTGTTGGAAAAGTCAAATATAAGTATAGATTTATTTATATTATCAAATCATAAAAAGATATTAAATCTATATTGTAAAAACAAATAATTCATATAATTTTATAACAATTCCACTATATTATTTAACAGTATTTCTTTTTATTATATATTAAAATAATAATTAATATATATGGTGAACAACAATAAGTAAAACTTTTACTTTCTCTTATATCAAGGGATAAATTTATATGCTAAAATTAAATTTTTATTAGTATAAATGTTTTATTGAGATAATATATTAATTATTTTACAAGCTAACCCTAACATGCTCATATTTAATGTTCTGACTAAAAAAACAACGCTGGTTAAAAGATGTGGAAAAAAAAACTTATAATAACCCTATTGTTTTTTAGAGTTAAGGTTGATTAAAAGCGGTAGAAAATAGATAATAACCCTATTATTTTTAGACTTAAACGGACAAGGCTGTGAAAATAACTCATTTAATATTTTTGTCCCGTGCATCGCACGGGGTACGTACTAGTTGTTTTAGATAGATAGATTTGTCTTACCATTTACTAAAAATAGTAGCAAAAAATTTAAGAAATATTTATTGCATACCATTTTTGGAAACTTTTTAAATATATGCATTAATTGCTTCCATATACACGTTTTCAAATAAGATCAAATAAGATATGATAAAAAAATTACTTAAACAAGTTTATTAATATCTACAATATTTCATTGATATTTATTATAATAAATTACAAGATTGATTTTCCGTGATTCGTGTTGATAATAATTTGGTCAACATAAATATTATTTTATTAATATTTATAATACTTTCATTAATATTAATTATAATAAATTACAAGATTGATTTTTATGATCCACGTTGATAATATTTTGGTTAAGATAAATATTACACCATATTTTAAATTCTAACCATAATATTAATGTTTTTTCACAAATATTAACTTTTTATCCAAAAATATTTATGAAAAATCGTAACAGGTTAGGTAGAATTCTTTTTCCAAGTAATCAGACAAAATCAAGTTGGTGAATTAGTTTTTGGCAATATATTTTTTTTTCTTAAGCTTTATTTTGTTAAGTATAAAAAATAAATTTTTTTTTTCAAATTAATGTAATTTACCTTTTAATAGATAATGGCTAGATACATTAAATAGTTTTACTAATGGTAAAAAATTAAAATTGAAATATATTAACTATTTTTAAAATTTATTTGTATATTATTGGCACCCATGATTTTTTTTTTTTTTTTATTTATTTCTTTAATTAAATTCTTGTAAAATACATTTTCATTGCAGAGTATGCTAAATAAACTATAAATCCTTATAATGCGAATTAGAAAAATCTTGGATTGAGTTTTTGGCATTATCTAAATCAAAGTTGTTTAATTAGTATACAAAATTAAATTCTAAAAAAACATGTGTATATTTTGTAAAATATTTATACACTATTTAAATTTAAATTTATTTACATATTTTAAATTGATTACATAAATAAATAATACTAATGTGCATTAAATATTTTTCATTACATAAAATAAAAAGAAAGAGAAGACGTACAACTTTATAACTTCAAAAATAATAATGACATTATAAGACAACAAAGTTTATAATAAAATAATAATTAAGTATTATATGGTGAACAATAATAAGTATAATTGTTATTCTCTCTTATATCAAGGAATAAATATGTATATTAAAATCAAATTTATATTAGTATAAATGTGTTACTGAGATAATATATTAATTATTTTATAAGATACCTTAACATGCTCAAATTTAATGTTTTGACTAAAAAAAAACAACGCTAATTAAAAAGGTGCAAAATAAATTGTAACCTTATTGTTTATTACACTTAACGCTGATTTAAAAGAGGTGAAAAATAGATGATAACTCTATTGCTTTATATAATTAAACGGACAAAACCTGTGAAAATAACTCATTTAATATTTATGTCCCGTCGTACTAGTTGTTTGAATAACAATATATATAATACTGTGAAATTTCATCATCATGTATCTATTTATGTTGTTTATCAAAATATTATATTTTCTAATAAAGTTATATATTTGTAAAAATTATATAACTGTTTCATGGTCAGGTCGGCCTACCATAAAATCAACTAATATTATGTATGATTAGGGATGTAGAATGAAACAAAACCCAAAAAATGCGCAGATTTTAATAAAAATACATATTCATATTTTGAAATGTCGTATTATCTTTGTATTTTATTTATAAAGGTGTATTCTACAATTTTACTAGTTTAATAGATTTGCAATACATGTTAGAAACTTAAAACTAGTGTTGGATATTATATACATGCACAGATATAAATAAAATATTATAAGTTTTATGCATGCATGTAATAAATATTAAAATTTGAACTTTAATAAACATAAACAGTACAAAACTATTTAATTTCATTGCATCACTATTTTGATTGGATAAAATATAATGAATATAGTAATTTTTATAATTTTGATGGATCGTGATTAGGCCTGTAAACGAGTCGAGTCGACCTCGAGCTTAGGGTGCTCAAGCCCTTAACGAGCCGATATCGAGATTTAACGAGTCGAACTATAGAAAATTGTATAAGAGTTCTCTTTTTTGAGCCGAGCTAAGATCGGCTCCTTAACCAAACAAGCTTTAAATGAGCTCAAGCTCGACTAGCTCATTAGGACCTCGAGCTCGAGCCGAGCCAAGTCAGACTTGTTTAATTTAACAACACTTATCGTGACCAATTAATTAGCTGAAAAATATTAAATTTACTTTTATAACAATTGTTTATGCGATTTTAAGTGGTTTAACCACACCATTAAAACAATTAGTTTACTTAAACAAAAAACAACCGCTTAACGAGATAAAAAAAAATAAAAATTATTATAGAATAAATAACTTGAAGAAAGATGTTTACAATATAATTTTTTATACTTATGTAACTTTCATATACCATTTACTGTAAAATAAAATTAATAAATTTTGATAATAACTATTACTCTATGATAGAATAGTTTAAAAAAACATATAATTATGACTCATAATATAAGAGAAGGAAACGAAAACAAAAAGAAAAATTGCATTAAAGTAATGACGTATGCAACTAAAAATGAGAAGAAAGATAATAGTAGTAACATTCCTGCATTTAAATCAAGGTATTAAATCCTTGGGTCCGTTCAGTCAGTGCAATAATTAGAAGTTGTTGGATTTTCATTTTTCAACACCAATGGCACCTCGAGTTTTTAAGATTTGTGCCTTTTTTTATTTGGTTTATTCTTAATTTTGTATTTTTTTTATTTTTTTATTTTTTATTTTTACAATATCTAATTGATAATGTCACTCAATATAGAAGCATTGATATTGCCTCAAGAAGGAAAAAAGATAAGTATAACGTATTTCCTCATAATATGCGTGAGCATGTATATTTCCTCGTATGCGTTTAATTTTACTAAGTATATTTATAATGTTGTCCTATAATTTAAGATTCGTTTTCATTTAAAGAGCAAATTGTAGTTGTGACAGTATTAATAAATAATAATAAGATCAAATTATCTACTCACATGAACATGGCACGTGAAAATTGATATGGGACTTGCAATAATGGTTTGACGAATTAAAATTGGAATTTTGAATATATTCCCAATGGCTCTTTACCATCCATCAACTACAATATTTTTTTTATTAGAAGCTTTTCATCATAAAATATCCTTATATTGTAGAAATTATTGTGTGAGTTATTACCCTAATCGTACACAAATCGATGCTTTATACAATTTTAATAAAATTGTATACTTTCACTATGAAAGTTTATAATTATTTTATTTATATTATATTGTAGAATATAATGAATATTAGATATAAAAATATGACTGCTTAACAACATTCATCTTATTTTACGTTGATGTTAGGTCTTCCCGCTATTAGTATTTATCATTCACGTCAAACTTAAAAAGAAATTGTAGAACATTCAACTTATAATTCGCACCAAATATATGATAAGAAATATCAAATAAATAAATAAATAAAGAGATATAAGTAATCATTTATTAATCAATTTCAAATCAAATACATAAAAAAATCCAAAGTACAAAACTAGTCACAGTAACTTTGAGCCCCACATATATAATCTGTATATCCAAGTGATAGTCATAAATAACTATTTACCACAAAATATTTTCTACAATCCATACCACCTCATATTTTATATAATCCAAATTATTCTTCAATTTACCGAATGATTCCAACTAAAAAAATAAAGAGATGGGTTCTAGAAAAGAAAAATATCAATTTCTCCCAAATACATAAGATTTATTGTGTTCACTAAATAATTGCACTATTAAATTACTATTCCACATCATTTTTGTCAAATATTTTATCAAATGGTGTTGTCATAACTCATAAGTCAATCACGTAGAGACGGAGAGAGTGATTCCGCACAGATAATTTAAAATATTAAACTGAAGTTTGCCAAAAAAATAAAAATAAAAAATCTGAAACTGTTAAAGCTAAAATAATATGAATTACTTAAAATAGAAATCGTCAATTTTAATTTAAGGCTACTTCAATTGGCCTGGCTCATTAAACTTAATTTTTACCTTAGTCTTGGCCAAAATCGAGTTCAAATTTAAATATCGCTCGAGCTCACTTAACTTGGACTCAACCAAATTTGGTCAACTTTTCACACTATGATTAAACTATAAACTATTAAACAAATTGCAGTGAAAACGAATCAAAACTCAGGAA